CCCCAAAACCCCAAAACCCCAAAACCCCAAATAGCAATTGTTATAGGTTTTTGTTGGATTATATTATTAAAAATGGATAGAAAATCAATTTCAAAAGATAACCAAGAACCAACAGCTGGACAAGAGGAAGAAGAGGAATGGGAAGAGTGGGAGGAAACTCCTGACTACATTCGCTCAGAAGATTATAACAAGCAAGAAGAAATAAAAAAAAATAATCCCGATGAGAATGAAAGAGAAGAAAAATAAAAATTTATAGACTCAGAAATATTGGCTAAAGGGTATGAGCCACAGGAATTTTTCTTTTATCTCAGAAACTTTAAAAGTAAAATTGGAATAATGTAAAATCACTCATTTTTAGACGATGGACAAGATCTTGATAATTGGTAGTTAGGAGAGCTAAAGTTAGCAATATAGGAATTTCTTGATTTCTAACTTGCTTAAGAATTACAAAATCAAGAGGAGGAAAACAAAGAGAATCCGTCCAGACTTCTCTTTGGACAAGGGCTGAAATAGGTAAGAAAAAATTATTATTGTAAACTAGAAATAGAATCCCTTGATGACTTAAGGAGGCCTACCAATAATAGAGTAGAACTAGATGGAATAGATAATGCCATTCCTTAACAGATATTAGCCAGGTCCTTACCTTGAAGTTACTCAGCTTAAATAGACGATTCTGAATAGAAATTCGAGAAAAATATTCATAAAATTAACTCATGCTAAAGTCAAATAATAGACAGAATTTTTGTTCATTAAATCTAACCAACTTTCATTCAACATACTGACTATTCCAATGAAATGGGATGTGGAGAGAAATGAATCGGATATTTACCAATTAAGAAGGCTATTATAGTATTAATTCCCTCACCTGCTCATTCCACCTCTGCCTCAGAGATAGGAGTACAAATTTACATAAAAATCGGTTAAAAAAAGATGCAAGTATATTGAAAGGTTCATAAATTCTGTATGCAGATCTGAGCAGCTTTGCACATATCAGATTCTTGTAGAATTTCTAATGATAAAACATAATAACCCAAAAACATTCTAAGAAAAAATAAAGAAAGAGGAAGAAACCCTATTAAAACAGAGACAACCCTTGAAACCTGAGGCCAGTGAACTTTCCAGTCTTTATAATAAATTAGCAACGAAACTATAGCCAATGGCAGCATCATTTAATCTTCCACAATTTATCGAGAGTTTCGAAACTATACTCTAAAACCTTTTAAAACTTTCTGTTGATATTAAAACTAAATCTGATGTGCTATGTCAAAGTTTCTTAAAGTTATAGGAGGTTTTAGTCAAGATTTCTTAAAATCATGGAGATTCTGTTGTTTGCCAGCTCGAAATTTTTGCAAACTTATCCAAGGCATTCGGAACAGAAGGATTTATTCTCTCTCAACAAGGAGAAATCATCTAGGATGCTTTGAAATATGTAAAATACAATTTGGAATACATACCTGAACTCAAAGAGCTCCAATAAAAAGCAGAGTACGCCAAGTATAAGTTTGAAAGATCCGAAAAAAATTTCGCAAATAAGCGTTAAAAAGTTGTAGCTCAGCTTGGCAAAGATAATAAAAACTAAGTGTCCGAGTAACTAGTAGATAGCTTGCTACCAGTAGAAATGAAAGATCTTGAGAGGTAGACATAATTTATGAATTTCTTTAAAAATCAAGTCTTCCAAGAGGTAAAGAGAATGTAATTCGAAATGGAATATGAAGGAATGAAGAATAACTTTAGAGATATGATTAAGAAAGTTACAGCTGGTCTAAATCAGAGAAATATTCAATGGTCCAGCATAATCAATGCATTGGAAAAGGTCAAATTTGAGAATTTATGATTAAGTATTATTCAATGTAAATTATTCTTGAATCTGCTTGATGGGGTTTTGGGGTTTTGGGGTTTTGGGG